AATCAGCTGATTGTCTAACCAGTGATTACTTTCTGTATTTTTATTAAACATTTTTCACTAGTTGCAACTTGTTTTAAACAATAAGGCTGCATTGACAATAAAGATATGAGTCTTGTGTAAAAAGAAAAAGTAAATTTTGCTCTTTAATGTTGGAGAATTTTACTATGAAAAATAAACCTCAAATATTAAAACCTACAAGTTCACAGGAAAAAAAAAGTACAATATAAGAATAAACAAGATTTAGCAACTCAGTTCTCTGGAGAGAGGCTGTTAACAGTTAATTAGTGCTGCTGTGTGCTGCTCATGGTGATTGAGACATCAGGCAGACTGGCTGATAGATGGATTTTCCCCAAGTGTCGCATCATCATATCATAAATATCTTGCCATTAAAATATTGGGAACTCAATGTGGATTTAATTAAGACGATGATTACTGAGTAAATATTTCACGAGAAAGTCAATACCCATCTGAAAAATAAAAACAACCATAGAAATTCTTTGGTTTCACAAATTATTATTGCAGTCTTCCAGAAAAGGGATCCAAAGGACACAATTTAAATCTTAACACGTTTGTTTGCATCAGTTTCCACTTCAAGAAAGTAAATCTAATAGATCATGGACCTTAAATATGTTTAAATTCATTTATTGAAGGATAATAAAATTGTTTTTTTACAATTTAAAAAATGCTTTTTACCATTACAAGTAAGTATAACATTTGGTTACAAATTCTAAGTATAAAGACAGCAAAGCCTTTTTATGTATGTGCATATAAAAGAGCCGTTTAGAAAGTTTAAATTGAACAAAAGTGTTTTATTTTTAACAATTGCACGTCTGGAACTTTAAAAGACCACAAAAATCCATTCATCCATCCATCCATTATTTTCCACTTTTTCCAAAAAAATACAAATGTATTAAAATGTTCACATTTGATTTTATATTTAAGCCAAAAACTGCATTGTGTGTAGAAAGGCCAAGCTGTTACAAAGACTTCTGATCACATCTGCAGATGGCTTTTTAGCTCGTTACCTTATCTCTCCATCCTTATATCAGCTTATATCTGCTCTCAACCAAATTAATACTTAACTCCTAATATGACGTGATAAACGTTTAAAGGTGGCACAGACTGGAAACCATGTGACCCAGTGTTTTCTGAAGGAAAACATTTAGAGTCAACAGTTCTTTGAAGGACTGACCTTTACTTGACCTCCACACTTGTGACGCAATCGTTCCCACTGAAGCTGAAGAAGATTTTTCTGCTCCAATGTGGTTGGGGAAGTTCAGAGCAGAAAAAAAAATCACTGTAAACCCTGAAGGTTTGAATTTAGCAGTGATTTGAGTTGCTGGAGGAAAAAGAGGAATAAGGGGGCGGGGCATTGTTAAAATGTTGCACTTTATTTACAATTTGCACGTGATTATCAACCAGTTATTTTACTTTTTTTTTATTTTCATGGTAAGAGCTGCTCACAACTGTCTTCTCTCCTTCAAAATTAAAGTGTGGGTTCATGTGCAGTTGTCTTTGTTGAAGCCAGTATTCATTGAAAATGTATAATAAAGAAAATAAAACACGAATTTGTTAAAATTTCAGATGATTTCATGCATTTGGGGGAAACACAACCTCATGTTTAATGGTGAACCTCACCTGATTCCCACTGATTTAAAGTTTGCAGGAAGTGATTACAGGAAGATGTGTGTGTTTCTAACAGTAAAGTCCATGCTCAATAATCCAGGTATAAAATCCAACATTTTTCAGTCAGGTCTTCTGGACAGTTTCTTTTTTTGTGCTGAAACATTTCGCCTTCGATCCGGAAGGCTTCATCAGTTAAGGAAACACACAACAAAACTGATTCTTCCCCCAACAGCTTACTCCAAAGTGGAACAAACCAGTTCTGCTTGTGATTAGATGGTCAAAAGTCAACAAGTCCTTGTCAACAAGGAAGAGAGCTGCAATGGAGGAGGGGCGTATAAGAGACACTTCAAGTTTTCTGCTTCATAGGGGTCCATGTGAATAATGCATTATAAAGTATTTATAAACTCATAATTAACCTATTTCATAGTCTTAATAAAGACTTTATGAAGGGGCTATTGTTGTGAAATGGTACCTGTTTTGTTTTGGTCAGAAACGCTGACAGTTCCATTTACACCAAATGTACCTTTCTGAAACTATCCACACATTTCCATACAGAAAATTATAATTTCACACATTCTTTGATTTTTTTTTTCCCCCCTCCCTAAATATATTTTCTTAAAGCAACAGCTCATATCTTTTGAAGTGGGGTTGGATGCAATGTAGTGAACAAGCAATATCTTACCTGTTGTAGAAAGTGATAGAGGTTAGTTTGTCAGTCTGATCAGAATTAAACTTGTTTTTTTTTTTTGTTGTTTTTTTTTACCTCAGGCCAATTTAAAGAACTAAAAGCTAAGATATCATATGTTCATAACCATTTCATTTTAAAAGATCAGAACTAACCTGCCTTTTTAAACCAATGTATTTTAAAGGACCGATCAGCAAGCTGCGCCTGTGGGTTTGACGTTGGAGCTATGTTGAAAAATACACTTACCTAAAATGTCATAAATGCTGGACTGAGTTAAAAACCAAAAGAAGCCGAAATGTTTCGCAATTTCAGTTCAGTGTCAAAATGTGACAACTGGAGGACAAATTTGCAACATTTTTGTAGTGAAATGTTCATATAAACATAAAATAGTTCAAAATGTAGCTATTTCCCTGCTGGGCTAGAAACTTTTGAGGACTTATAGAAACTGCAGTAAAATAAAACTGAAGTAAATAAAACACGTAAGCCTTTACTGTCAAATGTATACTTGCATACTCTGCAGGAGTGCAGTATCCAGTAAGGTAGAGCTGAGAAGATGTGATGAAGATGAAGAGTCTAGTCTCTTTCCCTGAAGTCTGACACATGAATACAGGGAAGGGTCTCAGACTGAGCAGCATGTCACACAACAAATGCA